TCAAACAACATTATCGATATACGTATATACATGATATCGAAGGTTTACCCTGTAGACCAGCATGGCGTTCTGCTATGCCCTTACCTGCTCAACCAAAACTATCGATGATAAAGAAGGCATTCTTCTATCAGTCCCTGTTGTGGCTAACCCTGGCTGAGAGGTGTACATCCCAGAAGATTGACCGAAAATCTCGACTTTTAAAAAGATTCTCCAAAAGGAAAACGAACTCAGGTCCTCTACCTCCTACGACAGCGAAGCATCTAACTGCTTCACCACAGACGCCTTAGCTAAAATTTCGAAAGGATATCAGGAATACATTTTGCAAATTGTACCATTGTACCGAGTACACAGACTGATTAGTTAGTTTTCGTAGAGGTTTTACGGCACTCGCAACTGTATAAGGTCATAAGAGCGCCAGAAGATTAGAGGTGTTACGAGTGAGTAACAAACATAAAAAAGAAGGGGAGATAAGGACGATAGATGTTTGATAGGAAAGAAGGAGCAAACCACACCAGAGCACCCGCCAACCACCCACTCAGACTGACTAGCAGCTCACCCAAACAAATGGCTGTGATAAACATAACAAGTAATACAACTCCCTGAGGCCAGAGCCCATTTCCTGTGGTCTGGAACACCGGGGAATTAGTTAATTTTGGTGGGATTGTGGGGTCGCCCGGATAGTGGCAGGTGGCGTGTTAATTTGCTGCGATCGGAAATACATGAAAAATTAGTGGTATAACAGGTTTGGCTTTTCTGAAGGTGGCAACTTTACAGTAAGTAGCCTACTGTCTATAAAAAAGGGTTTGAAAAATACTGCTGTCTACCTTTGGAAAAGGGATTGAGTTCCATTCACACAGTGACATCTGGATTGTGCTTTGGCATTGGTCGCAATCCATGAAGGCTACTAAAACGGGTGGAAAACTTTATGGTAGCAAATATATAATCACTGGAAAGTAAATGTAAACCCCTGAAATTCCTTGTTTTCATAATGGAAAAATGCAGTGATAGAAACTATTTTAGAGCTTCTTTTTCACAAAATACGCCTTTGATAAGCAAAATAGCAACAAATAAAATCGCAACAAATAACATTACGCTACGACCACATTATTGACGTGTCTGTGTAGACTGTGAGCCAAAAAGTAAAAACACACATTTGTTTAAGGGACTTCAAACACCTCATCACCACTGTATATAAAAACACAGGTCTGTCTTAGTGACCTGACACAATTCATCATCACTTTATCTAAAACAAACATCTGTCCTTGTGAGCCTAAACCTTCCTGTCCACTGGAACGGAAACGACCCGATTTTTCGTCCGGGGGAGGAAAAAATCGGGCTGGTCGTTTCCGTCTCCTGTCTCCACAAAGTTCGGAAAAGACACGTCTAGTCTTTTGGCCTACACTAAACCGCTGTCGTGACGGGCTGTGTCCACGGTACGGGCCTATAAAATAGTCAAGAGGACACTGAACCCAAGGCAGCAATAAGAAATGTATTGGTTTGAACGGAAAATTGGTAAAAAGAAAAATTGATAATATGCATTTATACCAGGTGGTTTGCGCGTACACTTTTGCTATTTTTGAGGCGCTGATTACGTATATGACATTAGATTTGTAATCCGAACTCACCACCCGGCTCAGCTAAAATTTCGACAAGCGGCCTTCCAACAGCCTCGGCTCTTGTCGGGATGTGTTGTGTCGTGTCTGTTGACACAGCCAAACGGCATTTTTAACTGATTTCTTAAGTAAAAACGGTACTCCATTTCAACTACCAACTTTCCGAGAGACGGACGGAATCGGGTCGATTGGTTTCCATTCAAATGGACACGAACCCTTAAGGGTCCTGAAACCCGTCATCGTCACTTTACCAAAAACACACGTCTGTCCTCGTTAACCTAAGGGGTTCTCGTGGCCTAGAGGTTAAGGTGTTCGCCTCTCATTCAATAGGTCCTGGGTTAGAATGCAGATAGTGACGCAAATTTTTGTTATCTAAAATTGTCTCCTTTCACCTCCTTCCCTGCTCTCTATCAATGTTCTGTCTTCTGCTTTGCCTCCACTTTCTGCCCTCACCCCGTCACCTCTTTTGCCCCCTCCTCTGAGCTCCTGGGTCTTTCTACAGCCTTTCTACTGCTACTCTCTGGTCCCTTTACTGCTGTCTTTCAGCCGCACCCCTGATCTTGTGGTAGGAAAGATGTACACATAGACTTCTCGGACAAGGGCAAAATATCCCGGAGGTCCCATGTGCAAGTTTTGCTCGTTAAAGATCCATTAATGGTCCAAAAATCAATAAGAAGAGTAGGCTTCGACCGCCACCCGGGCAAAATTCAAAACTTCCTACAAACTGAAAATGCCTATTGTGTCCCACGCGCTCATATGACATAATGCAGTTGCAAGCGCAGTAAAACACTTAACCGCCA